GGCAGTTGGAGATCACGGTTGCTCTTGGCCCTCTTCTGCTTGCCACCTGAATTTTATCAGTACAACTGCACTTGCCTCTTTCAATCACTGCTGCCCACTGTGCTTTTGTGATGGTGAACTCAGTGTTTTTGTCACAGGCATCATGATTAGCAGAGACTGAAATGCTCACAAGTCCTTGAGCACCAAGTCGAGGGGAATGAAAGCATCACAGACCACTTTTGCAGCACTCAAACACAGCCCTGCTGCTGGTGCTGTTGAAATAGAATCAACCTACAGAGACCATCACAGAAATTGCCTCTGGAGTGGCAAATCAAATGAAAAAATCCACCAGGAGAACGAAAATACTGAAGTTGGCTGCCTTCATTGCTTCCTCAGAGCAGCAGAAAATGGAGATGCCCAGAGGTATTTTGCACTGCTGCTGATCCCAGTTGGAGCCCTGCCCTCTGCAGAGTCCCAGCGGGAACCTGAGCCCAGGCCGGGGAGCTCCCAGAGTGTCCTGGAGATTCTTTCTGCATTCGATCAGGCTTGCATTCCCCAGCAAGTCCCCAACAAAGCCTCCTGTTTTCTTGGGTTAGAACAGGCACAATGAAAAACTCAGCAATGGCACAACTGCCCAGCCCACAAGGAAAAGAAAGGACAAGTTGTCAAGGAATCCAAACATTTGTCTGGCTTTGCTGCAGAAGTCATGCTGCTCACGGTGTGGAAAGAAAAGAGAAGCTGCAGTTGGGGGCACATCTTGTGACAGAAGCTGCACCTCGTTCTCCAGGAAAGGTTCTTGAAAAGGGCAGACAGGAGTGTGGAGAAGATTCCTGGGGAAGTGAAACAGCTTTCCACAGGTGAAATGAAAATGGAAAGTGTTATGTTTGTCCAATTATCTCATCATAAAAAAACCCAATAGTATTAAAAGTAGTAGCAATTTTAATTGAATAGTTAAAATAAAAAAAATATAAAATTGGATACAATATAATTTGATTAAAATAAGAGATAATTTGGTTCCAATAATAGCGCATAAGCAAACGATAACCGCGGGGTACGGAGGGCAGGGTTCTGGGACTCTTGCCACCTCACGTACAAGCTTGCCAAGTGAAAATCACCCCTTATATGTCATGTGTCAATACCATCTCTTCTCATTTTCGGTTGATCATATCTCTATCTCCGCCCTCATTACCACCCTTATCACGCATGCGCCACCACTTGGTTTGGTGTTCACTCAAGTCTTTGGGGGTCATTTTGGATGAAGACCTCTCCTCTTCCTCTTTGTCTTTTAATTCACCTTTGGGTTACACATGCGCATCAAGCCAGTACAATGTAAGCCAAGACTAATGTATCACTGCATCTACATATCAAGGCAATAAATCCCTTATAATTAGCATTTTCTGGTACCCAACCAGGTTCTTGGTCATTTTCAGCAACTGTATCTTCAGCTTCTTTCCTGTGGTCCTTGAGAACATCTGCTGGGAAGGGGGGGTGTAGTAAACCCCTCAGCTTTAGCCAGGGCCCCTTGGAGAATAGAAAGCTGACACAGCGGCAAAGAAGTTTCCTGTCTCCAGGGACATCCGCCTTGTACCTTATCCCTATAGCCATGTAAGGCAATATGTTGTTAACCCTACTATTGGTCACTTATGGTCACTCTAACACCTTTGCCATTGGTCAGGACTGGATCCGGGCCAAGGGTATAAAAGTAGCATACTGTACCCCTACTAACTCGGAAGAAGAAGAGCTGAGACCCTTCACGAACCCCTCCATTAAAGCCATACTTGTGGAACAGCCGGCATCTTCTTTTCTCTCTACCGTCTGCTGGAGCCTTAGGCCAAGGGAAAAGCTACCTAGCAAGCAATGCTGAAATCACAAGAGCTGCCTAATCACTAAGAGCTGAATATTCCCTGCTTGCTAGGGCTGTCCCGCGGCCTTGGCCTGAGAGCGAGCTGGCTTCTGGCACCCAGTCCCCTTGGAGACCGAGCTCTGGAGCTGCAATAGCTTGCCTAGGATAAGACCAAGGAAGGCTCATTTTGGGGGGGGTGGAGCCCCTCCTCTCCCTCTCCTCCTTGGCATCAAAACTTTTAACTATTTTATTATTCTCAAATATTAATTACAGTATCATTATTGATTACTGTTTCAATCTTTATCAGCACAAATCGTACCTATTTATCACAGTAATATATCTTCTAATTCTGCACTTGGAGGAATTACTAAGGTCTGCAGTCTTTATTTCACACCCTGTTCTAAAAGACTTTTATGCTATTTTCCCTCTCTCTGTGTTTTCACACTTGTTCAACAAGGTTTTCTTTCTAAGAATATTAATCACAATATCCCAAAGGATTAAAAAATGCTTAGGTATTTTTTCCCTAAGTATTTACTGAAGAAAAATAATAATAAAAAAACTGTATACATGCTAGATATAAAATACAAACAGAAATAAACTTGAGAGTTCTCCCAAAAACCTTAAGAAAAAAACCCCATGTATTCTATAAAATCCAGAGTATTCATCTACAGCATACAAAAACGGGCATGTTCTAGAAGAGAAAATTTGTGCAACAGTTCTGCACAGAATTCTATGCTTTCAAGCTTTTTGCGCTTCAGGGGCAGTGCCATTCTCTGAACTGTAATGCTCTGAGCATGTTCTGCTCACCATGGCAGCTTTCTGCTCTGCCCTGGTACAGATCATCCTCCCAGCAAAGGGGGAGTGCAGCCACCACAACTCGCAGCACCTTCCCACACAGCAAGAACCTGAAGGACAGAGATGGCTTTCACCAGCTGCTGCGGGTTCTAATAGTGCCACCTCTCAGCTGCCGAAAGCCTGAATTTCTGTGTTGCACTGTGTTAGTTTATTGAGTCAAATGTTCTGTTATATAGTGGTATGTTCAAGTGCTCCCCGAGTTATTACAGTTAGTTTCTCCCCTATGTTATGCCCTCCTACCCAAGTGTCCCTCGAGGAATCCCCTCCCTCCTCACCAGATTTTTCCCTGTCTGTCAAGACAACCCAGCCCCTTTGCCCCATCCATCAGCCCAAACCCTACCCTTTGTTCCAGAAAGTTCCCTGTCCCTCACCCTTCGATCCAATCCATATGCCAACGCTCTCTCCTCCCCTTGTTCTGATTTGTTGTAGCCCTCAAAACCACACCCCAAGAGTCACTTATTGGTTACTGTATGGTGTCCACTCCCTGTTTTGAAAGATTTTAAAAATCCGGTCACAGGGATGTTGGGGGTTTTTTAAACATCTGTTCCCTTTGGGAATTCTTGCCTGCACGACCTTCCCCCCGCCTCTCCTGATGAATTTCCTTCCCTTTACACCACAGAAGAGCCTCCTCTGCTTCCTTCACTCGGTCCTCCAGGGTCTCTACTGCTCGGCATTTGGCCTAGAGGTTCTGGCTCAGGCAAAACCCTATCCTAGCCAATTCCCCCCTCTTGCCATTGTCTCTGGAGCATGACAGAGCTAGCCAGGGCTGCGGAGGGCAGTGACAGTGACCCATGGCCTGGCATGTCACAGCCCCCAGAGCCACACCTGCCAGGCCACAAGCCCCAGCCCTGGTGCCCACTGCCGGCCTCAGGGGCTCCTGGGCATCCTCACCCTGAGTGCAAAGGCAGCCTCAGGAGCCCCCAGGGCGCTCTGGATCCAGGCTGCAGACACCCTAAAGCCAGCACTGAAAGGGACATGGATGGGGACTGCAGCTGGATCTTGCAGTGCTCACTGCTCCTGACTACTCTCTAAGTGAACCCAAACCTCATTGGCAGCACCTTGAGCACATTGACCCTGCTTGCCCCTCCTGGAACGTGGTGTTCCCACATCCTGCACCAGCCCTTTGCAGGGAGTGACCAGCTCCCAGCTGCTCTGCTACCCTGGCCTTACTTTCTGTTTGCCAGCAATGAACTTAACAGATACACTCCTGAGAAACCTAGCACAACATTTGCTTCTCAGGAGTTCTTTGGCAAAAAGACTCCACTAATCCCTAGTTTTTGCACAGAGAAGGAGGTCCTGACAAAGCATGAGGCAGAGGCAGGGCTCTGGCATATGAATTCCTGAGCCACAGGATTCCACCCATTGTCGTTCTAGCTACTTTGCTGATATTTTAGAGCCAGTTCTGGACAAGGGCTGCTGCTGGCAGGATAGGAAAACGTGGAGAAAAAAAGGTGCAGGAGACAACAAAAAAAAAAACCAAGGGGGAAAACCCTTAGAAATACAGAACTCAAGAGAAGTCCTTGGAAATGGGTCAATAGAAAATGCCAGCAGCAGTGAGCAGAGCCCGAGCTTGCTCACTGCTACCCCAGGGGCTCCTCAGTCCCCTGCTGGTTTGTGTCTGATGCAGCCCTGCCTGGAAAGGGCTCCAGGCTCTGGTGTTCCCAGCTTGCTCCAGGCTACATTCTTAGCAGCACTGAAAGAAGAGGGGAAACAAAGAGCCATTTTCTGTCCTGCCTGCAAACTCTTCTCCTTCAGTTCCACTGCCAGAGATCATCCCTCTGTCAGCTTGGCACTGTGCCTGCTGCATCCTCGTCCCTGTCCCTCGCATCAGCTCCTGCACATCATCAGCACTCGCTGCCCCACAGAACAGAGAGAGCTGTGTCAGAAAAGCAAGGAGTGCATTTTCTTGGCCTTTCTAACAGACACAAGAAGCATGAGTCCAAATAACTTTGTTGTTTGTTCCTGCCCTCCTTTTCGATAAGTCTTTTCTGCTTTAATGCAAAAGCCTCTTTTCATACATGGATGGAATGATCTGGAATTGGCAGTTGCCTCAGGCTGTCAGGCACCATGGGAGTTTTCTCTTGTCTCGGATGAGGATTTGGTGAATTTTCCATTGGTCACTTGGTGTTGTCACCATGGGCTGAGCTCAGCGGCCGACTCTGCTGTCCCCAGGGGATGCATTGGGACGCAAAGCCCCTCAGGGCTGGAATTCGGGGTTGGGTGGGCTCGGAGCGCGCGGGGCCTGGGCCCGTGAGGAGGTGCTGCTGGCGCTGGCTGTGCTCAGCCTGCTGTGCCGAGCAGCCGCGGCCATGGAGACACAGGCGGGAGCTGTGGCCGAGGCCGGCCGGCGGCCCGGGGCGGCTCGCAGCTGCGAGGACGGCAGCAGCCTGTGCCCTGAGGCCAAGGCCATGGTGGGCGGTTTGCGGGCAGGGCTTTTCCGAGCCAGCGGTAATGTGCTGCCTCCCGTGTGAGCCCGGCTGCAGCAGAGGCAGGCGGGAGCGCGGTGGGGCCGGCAGCGGCGGGCAGAGGCCGCAGAGAGCAGCAGCCCTGCCGGGCCCGCTGCGGAGCGGGATGGAGCTGCCGGGCAGCCCTCGGCCGTATCTGTGCGGACAGGGCAGGAGCAGAGCCCGCAGACGAGGCAGGAGCCGCGGCAGGAGCTGGCCATCGCAGCAGCTCGCCGTGCCCGGGGCCGCAGCCGCAGCTCTCCCCTGCCGGCCACGGCAGCAGCCGCTCGCCTCCGAGGCTCTGGCGCTTCCCGAAGACGAGGGGCCCGGCCCCCAGCACTCCCTGGAGCCCCGCAGCAAGAGGAGCCGCCGGTGCCGCAAAGGGCAGCGCAAAGGGCGCAGGGTGAGGAGGAGGACATGAGGCTCACTCTGGGCCGCGCTGGGGCAGCTCTGCCTTGTCAGGCTTCGCCTTGAGCCCTTTGCTTCTTTTCCATGAGCCCTGATCCCCGTCCTTGGCCAAGGGCCCTAGCAGCCCTTTCCAGGGCTGCAGGAAAAGCTGCCTCAGTCACAGAATCACAGAATCCCTGGCTTGGAAGACAGACACTTTCAAGATGATCGAGTCCAATCTGTGGCCTAATACCTCAACTAAAGCACGGCACCGAGTGCCACTTCCAGTCTTCTTTCAAAGGCTTGCAGGGATGGTGAGTCCACCAGCTCCCTGGAGGGGTCTGTCCCAGGAAGAACCAAGATAACACTGGGGCCTTCTACCCCCTGGCGCTTGGAGCTCTGGAAGTTTGTCTTTCTGCTTAGGCAAAGGCCATGGAAAAGGACTGGGAAAAGTAGTCACTAATCGAGTAGCCTACAGAGCTCTAAATTGATGTGCAGGGAATACAGAAAAGACAGAAGAGAAAAAAGGCAAAACTCAAATGCCATCAGGAAAGTCTTGGGCATGAACACATAGCTGCAAAGGGTCTTCTCAGCCCTATTTCTTTGTATTTCTGGGAACCAGAGGAATCCTGCTTGAGCCTCTGGGGAGATGGGTTTGGGAGGTAAAAGTTCATGTCTTTTTTCTCCTTCGGGCAGCACCTGTTCCTAGCATCAGCTGAGCCTCTCTCCAGCCTGATGCCTGTTCTGATTGTTGCAGCAAAACAACTCATGGCAGACAGAAGACACTGACGCTTGCAGAGACGTGACTTTTTCCAGTGCCAGCTGGGAGTGGGAGTCAGAAGAAAAACTCCCAAAAGCACAACTCCATTGGAAGACTGCCTTCCTTTTCATTGCGTAAAGAAGCTCTAGATCCACTTGTGAATTGTCAGTTGTTTGTTAAGGATGGGAAGTTTTCTTTCATGATTTTTTTCATGTGGTTTGGAAGTGGAGGAGGCTCTCGTTCATTCACAAACTCCAGAACAAAGTGCCTTTGGAAGATGGCCCACGTGGCAGTTTTTGCCCAGCCATGGTACTTGTGGATATAGAAAAGCAAGGGCAATGGTATTTGCAGCCAAAACCCACCAAAGCTTGTCTCAGCCAAAACATCCTGGGGAGAGAGAGGCCTCCAGCCTAGAAATCAGCAGAGTTCCAGCCAAATGGTTGTGTAGCACTGAGTGCAATCTCTTTGCCTGGATCAGAGCCTTGCTCAGCTGAAGAAGCAGAAGGATCAGCAAGGAGATCCCAAAGGCCCCTCACATCATTTTGATTTTGCTCATCTTGTGTAAGTTTGCAACTAAACGTGTTTGCAGTTGAGCTAATGAGAGAAAAAAAAAGTAGATAGAGGCTTTACGGTGGGGCCATGATATTCCACAAGAGGAATCACTGGTGTGCATTTCATTGGAGCTCTCTCAATCCTATAAAAGTATTGTAGCCCTGATTTAAAATAGGCCGATACGAACCAATTTGGAGAGACAGAGACTAAAATGGCTTATGGGGTTTTTTTTTAAGAGTGAGAAAAACTACCCAAAAGGTGTTGTTTTGTGACATTTTAAAATATACTACCTGAAAATTACCAACTGCAATAAATCAAGAGTTTAAAATGCAGTGTTTAGGTATATGAATAATTAAAACCACAAAAATGTGAAGATATGAATGCATGTTTTCATGAAAATCATGAAATTATAGACCAAAAAACCACATGCCCTGAACTACAATGCAAAGGCAGGTAGAACTGTACTTGAATGATCTCTTTTTAGATTGCTGGAGTTTTTTCCTTGTGAAGAGGAGCTAGGGTATTGCTGAAGAAAAGTGGCACCAGCAGGACGGGGCAGCGTGCCGTGCTCCGTGCAGAGGCTGCCAGGGGCTGCCCGAAGAGCGCCCTGCTGCAGCCAGAGCCCTCCTGGCCTGGGGGCTGGGAGCAAAGGGCCAGGACAGCCACCTGCTCCTCGTCCTGACCCTGCCAGCGCTCCCTGCTGCTGCTGCTGCTGCTGCTGCTGCTGCTGCTGCTGCTGCTGCTGCTCTTGAGGGAAAGAGACTCTCCTAAGGCCCCATGAACAAATGCACTTACACAGCCCTGGGAATGCCAGTGAAGGAAACCATGTGTCACATAATGCATATGCGACCAGAGTCAACAAACACCACCTAAACATGGAATTGTTGCACCTCTCTAGGACAGGCAGAAATTTAAAGAATTAACTGGGGACTTGAGGGCAGAAGAGGATGGAGGAGGAAAACAACTCTGAGGGGAAAAAAACCCACCAGATCTGGAGGGGAAAACATCTCTGCCTGCTCAGAATTGGTCGAGGGAGCATGTCTCTAATCCTCTCCTGAAAGGGATGCTTTAGGTGACCTTTGCACCTCCAGCTGCCTTGGACCCAAGCCAGGAAGGTTTAATTATGTAAATGTTACATAGATAGATAGATAGATAGGTAGATAGATAGATAGATAGATAGACAGACAGATCTCATGACTGAAATCTCTCTTTACTGTCTTCTCTGCTGCTACACACATCAGAACTTGGTAGCCAGTGCCCCGCTCAACTACAATCCTGAGATTGCTCTCCTGTTGCTTCAAAAAAGCACACTCTTGGGGAATCTGGAGCATGTTGGTCCTTATGGAATGCAACCAGACCCAGAGCATTGCTGGGAACTGCACTCTTTGTGCATCTGTGCTCGGGCAAGTTCCTCTCTTGGACTCGATCACACTGGTGGTGCTGAAGTGGCTGGAATCAGAAATGCAGCCCAGCCCCTCCCAGCTCCTGTGATCTCTGAGCACCAGCTGGAATGCAAGGGCATTGATTTCCTGCTCAATTCCCAAACACAATGCACACTGATTCCCTGGGCTGCCAAAAGACACGGGAGCCGTTACCCTGAAAGTGATGTGTTTCTGCCAGTGCTGGAAAAGGGCAGGAAAACTGAGAAAAAGCTCCCTTGCTCCCTGCAGAAGGAGAAATTACACAAGGCTTCCCCTTCTAGCAAACAAACAAACAAAATATGAAAGTGTTACCTACTCCAGTGTCTAAAGCACTTGGATGCAGTGAAGGGATGTTTGGCAGGGAAACACCCCTTGTGCTGAGCATTGGATCTATGGATCTAAGGCAGGGATCTATGGCAGTCTGCCTGAAGGTCCCTCAGGAGCCCCCATTGTCCAGGCTAAAGCTCCCTCAGCACCTCCTCCCTGGCCTTGTGCTGCACCCCTTTGCCCAGCTCCCCTGTTCTTCTGTGCACACGCTGCAGCCCCTCCATGACTCTCTGCTTCCCAGGGCCCACAGCTGCACACAGCACTCCAGCTGTGGCCGCAGCGCTGCCCAGCACAGGCCACGCTCACTGCCCTGCTCCTGCTGCCCCACTGCTGCCGGCACAGCCACCGTGCCCTTGGCCTTCTTGGCCCCCTGGCCCCACGCTGCCTCATCTTCAGCTGCTCAAGGCCGCCAGCCCTGCGTCCTTTTGGCCCACGCAGCTCCCCAGCCACAAAGGTGCCCATTTCACTTCAGATCCAGCAGGCACCATTGCAAGGTGTACATCCTGGGTTTAGCATTACAAGAAAGCAGTCAAGGACTTGCAGCTTTGCTCCCATTCTGGGTTCCAATACAGTTTTCAAAGCAGACTACACAATAGAATGTATCAACAGACAAAGTCAGCGTCTGGTTTTTGCCTCAGAAGAAGTATTCAGAACTACTCACTTTGTTTCTTTTTCCACACTAGACAAGAATGGCCCCTCACAGCTTCATGGACAACACAGTCATCTCCTTGCAGCTTATCAAGGACCAAGAAACAGGCAGACTCAGAGCACCTATCTGCTCTGCTACTGGCTGCTCTGCCTGAAGAGGCAAAAGAGCAACCTGGCAACAAAGGCACCAAAATCCCTGACTTCAAGCAGCAACTCTACATCCCCAGTGTGTCTCTGAAATACTCCCAAGTAAGCACACCCAAGAAGTTTGTGGGGACAAAGTACTGCAAAGAACTTGTGTGGTCAGATCAACATTTTTTTGTGCCTGCAGCTACTTGGCCAGTTTGTGCAGGGGGACAGGTCTCTCCAAGCCACAGTGTCCCCTGTGTATCCAACAAGGCTGAGCACAGTGTCTGTGACATGCTCCCTGCTCTGGGAACAGGGAGCCTTCGTGCTTCAGGCTGGCCCCTATCAAAATGCCAGGAAGCTGGTGCCTAAACATGACAGACCAAAGCCCATTGTCCAGCTGTCACAGGCTGGGGGCAATCACTGGGTCCTGGCAGGACTCCAGCACTCAGCATCCTCAGCCCTGCTAGCAACAGTAAAGTGCTGGCTGGTCAGAAACTTGCAGCTCTGCCCTGCACTAAAGACAGCAGCACACACAGCTGGCACTTACTGGCTCAGAATGTTCAGGCTGTGGTGTGAGCACTGATGGAGGCTGGTGCTCATCCACCTCATTTGCCTCCTCTTCGGCCTCCTCTCCATGAGCAGAGGGGGCCAGAGGAGAGACTGCTGTTGGTTCTGTGATCTCTGGACAGACAGCAGTGTGAGGGACAGAAAGTTACCTATAATTTATAACCTTATTTCTATT